GGAAGTGATTACTGTGCAATAAAAACACACCTTACAATATACTACATAAGAAAGGAAGTGATTATTATGCAACAAAAAACACACCTTACAATATACTCCATAAGATAGGAAGTGATTACTGTGCAATGAAAACACACCTTACAATATACTACATAAGATAGGAAGTGATTATTCTGAAATAAAAACATACCTTACAATATACTACATAAGATAGGAAGTGATTACTATGCAAAAAAACACACCGTACAATATACTACATAAGATAGAAAGTGATTACTGTGCAATAAAAACACACCTTAAAATATACTCCATAACATAGGAAATGATTACTTTCCTAAAAAAACATACCTTACAATATGTTTTTATTTCAGAATAATCACTTCCTATTTTATGGAGTATATTGTAAGGTGTGTTTTTTGCATAGCAATCACTTCCTATCTTATGGAGTATATTGTAAGGTGTGTTTTTTGCATAGCAATCACTTCCTATCTTATGTAGTATATTGTACGGTGTACCTTACAATATACTACATAAGATAGGAAGTTATTACACAAACATACACTAGTAAACGTATTATTTACCACAGTAGTGTTACATATTACACACACAAACATACACTAGTAAACGTATTACTGACCATAGTAGTGTTATATATTACACACACACACACACATACACTAGTAAACGTATTACTTACCACAGTAGTGTTATATATTCCAGTTTGTATTTCTAAGTTATTATCTAAAGAAATGATTACTATGCCTAAAATTTAATATAATTGTGTTTACTGTCTTAGATAAGGTAAGCACTGTAATAAGAAACTTAATATGTTAGACTATCACAAGATAGTCAGTTACATTATTATTAAAAAATAAACATAGAATATGTTCCACAATATTGAACATTCAGACTACCATAGATAAATAAAGCACCTTACAATATATTACATAAGATAGGAAGTGATCACTGTGCAATAAAAACACACCTTACAATATACTCCATAAGATAGGAAGTGATTACTATGCAATAAAAACACATCTTAAAATATACTACATAAGATAGGAAGTGATTACTATGCAAAAAAACACATCTTAAAATATACTACATAACATAAGAAGTGATTACTATGCAAAAAAAAACATACCTTACAATATACTAAATAAGATAGGAAGTGATTATTATGCAAAAAAACACACCTTACAATACGCTACATAAGATAGGAAGTGATTATTATACAATAAAAACACACCTTACAATATACTCCATAAAATAGGAAATGATTACTTTGCTAAAAAAACATACCTTACAATATACTAAATAAAATAGAAAGTGATTACTATGCAATAAAAACACACCTTACAATACACTACATAAGATAGGAAGTGATTGCTATGCAAAAAACACACATTACAATATACTCCATAAGATAGAAAGTGATTACTGTGCAATAAAAACAGACACACAAACATACACTAGTAAACATATTACTTACCACTATCAGATATTACTCACACAAACATACACTAGTAAACGTATTATTTACCACTATCAGATATTACTCACAAACATACACTAGTAAACGTATTACTTACCACTATCAGATATTACTCACACAAACATACACTAGTAAACGTATTACTTACCACTGTCAGAAATAGTGTTATATATTACACCCACAAACATACACTAGTAAACATACTACTTACCAAGATAATATATTACACACAAACATACACAAGTAAACATACTACTTACCACTGTCAGATATTACGTGGTAAGTAATACTTTACTAATGTATGTTTGTGTGTCTAATATCTCACAGTGGTAAGTAATATGTTTACTAGCGTGTGTATGTGGTCAGTAAATGAACTAAATTACTTAAAATTAAATACTCTTAATATCCATGTGTACTGCAATTTTTAGAAAACTATGTATTTATAGCAGTCAGTCTGAAAGCATGTGTCATCCTTGACTCAATGTACAGAACGTGGCAAATTCCCAGCTGTATACATGTTATAAATATAGACGTTACTCTGTAACATGGGTGATAAAAAGAAACTAATCAAATAAAAAAAAATGTTTTGATCTTAGAATTTATATGCAGCAAACACTGAACCCCAAATAAATCTATAGTTTACTTTTAGTACTTTTAGTAGATGAAGCTTTTGTTTTTGTTAAAAAAGAAAATGAAATACTAAAACATAACATTTAAACTGAGACTGCAATATTATAATGAAGAATACTCAGTATTTCAGACACCAGGTAAGAAACAGGTTCTTATGGCATTACTCTTTTGAATATAAGCACTTTTTGCAGATTCATCTTATAGTATAAAATTAGTAGTAAAAAA